ATATTTTTAATTAAATTAGTTCTTTTACGGCCATATTAAACATATATGGTATAGAATGTTAAGTCTATATTAAACATATAGGTATACGATTCGTTCAGTGAACCATGACCGTTATTATATTAATTAAATTAGTTCTTTACGGCTATATTAACATATATGGTGTAGAATGTTTACGTCTATATTAAAAATATAGGTGTACGATTCATTCAGTGGACCATGACCGTTATTATATTTTAATTAAAATAGTTTTTTACGGCTATATTAAACAATATGATGTAAAATGTTTACGTCTATATTAAACATTTAGATGTACGATTCGTTCAGTGGACCATAACCGTTATTATTTATTAAATTAATTCTTTTACGTCTATATTAAACATATGTCCATAAAACATGGAAAAGAAAAATTGAAGTAAATTACCAATCCGCTTAAGCGACCCGATCCCATATTTAGCCTTTGTCTACAGAGTGCACAGCAGATGGTTGCAGAGTTCAATTTTATATATATATATTACTTTCTTGCCAAGAACTAACAAAAAATAATAGAATAAAAATGATCTTTCCGTTTTACGTACGGTGCTGATCGACAAAGACCGAAGTGTTCTTTTCACATTCATTGAAATGAAAAAAATAATTAATAATTAATAAAAAAGGACTAAATATTAAATAAACATTACAGAATATAATTCTCACCGAAGTATCGTTACATCGCTAGTGATCTAGTACAATAAAGTACTGACGCTTAAGTGATCTGCTGCAATATAACTGTGATCGCTTAAGCGATCTGTGCCATATACCAGACTATACCAGACGCTTAAGTGATCTTTTGTCAATAAAATGCTAAGCGAATCTGCTACCATATACCAAACTTATACCAGATCGCTTAAGCAATCCATCATATCCAAAAAACAATTTTTCAGTCATCTCCACCTACAATCGGTGCTATCATCCTTAGCTCCACAATGCAAGAAAATATTCAACAAATTTCACTCCTTTCAACTGCATTACATCAAACACAGCCCAACAACCTAAACAACTAAATCAAAATCATAACCCAAACCCCACCATTAAATCTTTGTAAATCTAAATATAAAATGTAAAGAGGAGATACACCTACTTAAACAAAATGTCAGGAGGAGGAGGAGGAGATCTTGGCGGAGAAGATGTTAATGGTGGAGGAACAAGAAAGTGTTAATGGCAGAGGAAGAAGAGAGTAGAGGAGGAGGAAGAAGAGATGTAGATGAAGAAGAAGATGCAGAGGAAGAAGAAGATGTAGACGAGGCTAAGAAGAAACAACAACCATGGTAGAGATGCGCTAATGGCGGGAGAAGGAAGAGAAGGTGTTTGGGTTTGTTTGCAAGAATTTTGGGTTCTTGAGAACAAAGTATAATTTTAAAAGATTACACAATACTTCATTAATCTTAATTAAGCACTAATCATGTTTAATTACTCTTAATCAATATAGGCTATTTAGTTAACACTTTAAAACTTCATAGCCTTTAATTAAATTTAAACTTGACATGGTCTTTAATAAAATGCCTCAAAAAAAAAAAAAAAATCAAAAACCTTTTCAAGGCCATTTTGCTAAACAGAACTTGGATGTCCAGGGAGTAAATTTCTCTGAAATTTCGTTAATGTTTAACATTTGATTACTGTAATTTGTAGATGCATCTAAGAATGTCAAATATGATATGATTCTTCCTCAAAGAACGCCAATAATATAAGTTGGTATTAATATTACATCTTCTCTAAACCTGAAAGAAAAAAGTATTAATTAACTAGCTTTTCAAAAACCCATTTTGAATGCCTCTCAAGCAAACCGTGTCCAGTATTTGACCCAATCGGTTATTCCATTTAACTTATTTACAATTTTCCTTTCTTTGCTTGTTATTATTCTTCAGAGGAGTCAAAACTATGTCAGTAGTCCATTTGATAATTACTCTTAGAATAATTAAACAATGAGAACTGATACAAGAAGCTCTAAGCTGTATTCAGAGCTGAATAAGTTCAGGGCCAAAGGCACTACATTGACAAGCAACATAAAAGAAAAAAAAACAACAAATAACAAGCTAGTTGGTTTGTCTTAGGTTTTGCTAAAATCCAAGCCCAGTTCTGAAAGATCAACTTTCCCTGATTATATCAAATAGTTGTTGAAGCTGTTCCGCTGTACTTGAACAAGAAATTGTCTGCGAAGAGCTTTTCAGAGGAATTCAGCACATAGACAAACCGATTTTTTTCTAATCAAGTCGTTCAACAACCAAACCCTGAGAACTCTGAACTCAGGGATATTCTCTTCTCCCACAGAAGAGTTAAAGCCACAGAGGTTCTAGCAACCGCTGAAGGTTGCCAACCCATCTTGTTCAGAAAAAAGTCCATTGGTATTTATTCTCCATAGACAGAATCATACATCTGGGATAGCCTTAAAAGTTAACCAGAAGTCATTTCAGACCAACCCCAACTCCATAAACCTTCAGTTTTGTTCCCAGGAATGTCTGTCATGGCCATAACTGCTACAAGTGCATGGACAAACGCACTGGTTGAAGGATTGAACACCATCTCGATAACCTTCAGTTTTGGCTATGATATATTGAAGAAATTGAAGCTCGTTTGAACAAAAATGGGCTTGGTTGGGAGAGATTGAGGTAGCAGCGGATTGATGAAAAGAAAGTGATTCATGCTGGGAGCCCAAATCTTGATACGCCTGAATCTTAAGTTCAAAATTCAGAATTGATTGCACTATACACCATTTTACCCGCCACAATAATAATTGATTTTCAATTTACTGTTTTAAAAATAGGTCGAAAAGTTTTCTCTAAGCTCTTTCCCACAAGGAATTTAACTTACCACTGCATACCTGAAATCCGCTCAGTGCAAGGGGATATGTAGTATATGAGATGACAATGTACGTCGCAGCACACATCTACAACCAAAACACAAAGAAGTTGGCAAGCAAAGATACACATCATATCTATTAAAAATAAGTCAGTACACCAATCTTCATCTCTATTCTCTGACTTCAAGCTTCACACAAATACAAAAATGCAATAAATTGGAAAACGATGAAAACGTGTTGCTCTGCAGAACTAACTAAAGTAATTCAACATTGTTCAATAAACTAAAAAGTTGAAATGTACTAATCCCAATTAGAGATTTTACAATCGTTTTAGGCTGGAAAGTTGACATGTACAGTTTGTGGAAGAAACACAAATATTCATATCCAGAGCCTGAAAGCCTTCCTTCCTTTGATAGATATTAATCAAATTCAAAAACCTGGTCCAAGTATTTCTCACAAACCTATCCAAGAATAGCTTCTCAGCAGAGGTTACAAATGAACTTAGGCTCAAATTTTTTTTCACCAACCCCTTTGATTGCAGAAACTAATAACCAAACACCTACGATTACCCTCTTTCCAAACTTAGGAAAACGTCTGGAGACAAGGCAATATCTGTGGACTGCCAACCCATCTTGTTCACAAAAAATCCATTACATCATTATTTTGATTTCAGAGGCATCATAAATTGGGCCATTTTCTGAAAACCAACTAATGTCCTCATCAGACCATCCCCCCTGAAAACGTCAATTCTGTTCCAGAGTTGCTTGACTCATTACAACAAACACCTTCATCGCATGATGAACCCACATTTCTGAGATTTGTATAAACTGATTTAATCATTACTTCTCGTGGTTTATCAACTTCATTCATTTCAGTTTGTCAATTAAACAGAGAAACTGATACAAGAAGAGCCTAGGCTGTATTCAGAGCTGAATAAGTTCAGGGCCAAAGGCACTCACATTAACAAGCAACAATAAAAAGAAAAAAAACAACAAATAACAGGCTACGTTGGTTTGTCTCAGGTTTGCTAAAAACCAATGCCCAGTTCTGAAAGATCAACTTTCGCTTGATATATCTCAAATAGATGTGGAAATGTCTGATACTTGGACAAGAAATTGTCTGTGAAGCGCTTTTCAGAGGAACTCAGCACATAAGACAAACCAAATTTTTTCTAATAAGTCGTTCAAAACAAAAACCCATAAAACCCCGCATCTTGGGATGATTCCTTCTCCAAACTATAAGCTAAAGCCCTAGGTGCTTAGCAATTGCGAGGTGCCAACCCATCTTGTTCACATAAAAGTCCATTTGGTATTTATATCTCCCAGAACGAGTCATAATACTGGGATAGCTTCTAAAAAGCTAACCGGAAGTCATTCTCAGACCAACCAACTCCGTAAACCTTCAGTTTTTGTTCCCAGGAATTGTCAGTCATGGTCGTAACGCTACGAGTGCGTCAATAAATGCACTGGTTGAAGGATGAATCCATGTCGATAACCTTCTTGACACTTTATCAAACTTTTCAGAACTTCACACAATACACAAGGATTTGAGGTCACCAAAGTTGAAATACCTGATTGTGTATCCAATTCCTTTCAAGGCAGAGAATTGGGAACAACTTTCTTTTGCATATCATGCAAATAAGTTGCTCGCTTCCAAACATTAACAATTTTCATTGTTGGAAACCAAACTCTTCAGGAATAATAGATAGGGATAATTGTTCTCTAAGCTCTGGCACAGAATACCGGGGTTTGAGGGAAGTACATTCGCAGGTCAGTACTAGAAATCCCCACGGAATGGAAAAACTCAAGCTGGGTAAAAGAGTTTCCTCAACGCGCCTACAAGCAATTTCGGTTTTTTTTAACTAGTTGGATATGTGCGCATTGGTAAACCCATTTTCCTGAGAAAGCCAAGTACAGAATCTGGCTTTCTGGGGTTCAAAAGCACTTTCTTTGATAAAGAAAGTAGCAATTTCTGGGGACAACCACATGGTTTATGAAATAAGACACTGTGAATGAATGTTGTTTTCTCTATCATGTGCCACAACTTCAACCGATGAGAAAGATTTAGAAAAAAGTGATGTATTCTGCAAAACAAAACTCAAAATGGATCGACGCGTATGCCACATTTCTCCAATTTGGACTAATAGACTTCAACCGATGAGAAGGATTTAGAAAAAAGTGATGTATTCTGCAAAACAAAACTCAAATGGATCGACGAGCATGCCACATTTCTCCAATTTGGGACTAGTTGAAATTGCAGTCTTTTGCAGCACAAAGGAAACATGGCCAAATCAAATAAAAATTAAGAAAAAAAAAGAAGAAGAAAAGCAAGAAAGTACTCACGAATTGTTTCAAATTTTCAGCTTGAACTGGGTATTTGATTGCGAATCTGTATATAAATGCCCTCGTCGAATTACAACACAGATTTGATAAACTGCTTTTAGGGTTTTCCCTTTTCAATCTTGCGTTATTGCTCTCCATCACGAGACGTGACTCATTTAATTAAGAGAGAATAACAATTCCCCACCCAAGGTTTGGCGTAATCATTTCCCACCCAAAGACTTTGAGAAAAACAATTGCCCACCCATCATTAAGAAACGTCTGTTAATTTTAACTGAAGATGGATAGGATGGTAAATTCACTAGAAGCTTTAAAATCAAAGATTTAAAATTTTCTTTCTTGGTCCAAGGACCGTGTAACGAAGTTTCCCAAGGATAAGATTCTTTTTGCTTCTCCAAACCCAAACCCTACTCCATCATGAATTTCTTTAAATCCGTTTTTTTCCGATGATACTAATTCGGTGATCCCTAACCAAAACCCAACTCCAAATCCTCCAACACTAAATTGCTACCAGATGAACAAAACCCAGATCCCAACACTCCTCTAAAACTCCAGCCCAGCAATTTGCAAGAGTTTGGGACAAGTCTAAGAAAGGAACTTGAGGTGTCCCAAGGATCCACAGGGATAGTTGGTACCTTCATTGACAAGTTTGGAAACACCGTTTTGAAAAGGACGACCTAGATCATTTCTCACGATAAGGATGCTATCCAAGCGATTGATCTCATTAATCCGATAATAATACTAATCAAAATAATAATTGTGCTCAGGTTCATGCAATTCAAGGAGATATAAATAGGTATTCTAAGGAAGTTGATGATTTAGATCAATATAATAAGTGGAAATCTAGGCTTGTTTTGGATATGATGAATGAGGAAATTGAGAGCATGTTTGAACAAAATGGTGCTTGGTTGGGATGAGATTGAGGATCTTAGCAGCATTGATGAGAAGAAAGTGACTCATGATGGGAGCCCAAATAGAGCTGACTTGAGGAAGCGACTGCATGTTGCAAAAGAAGAGGAAGACTTGAGTTGGGATATTGAAGATGAGGATGAGCCAGTTAAAGCACCATACACCATGAATCTTAAGTTCTTAAATTCTTAGAATTGATTGCACTATGCTCCTTTTTACCTCCATATTAGGAAGAGGAAGACTTGAGTTGGGATAATGAGTAAGAGGACGAGAGAAAAAATTTTAAGTAGTTGATTTTTCGGCTCCCACTAAATTTACGATTCTGTCTTTCTTCAATTAAAGTTAATAGATAGATCATAATAATGGATGAAAAATTGTATTTTTTCCAAAGTTTTTGGGTGAGAAAAGTTTCCAAATCAAGTGATCGATCAAGGAAATATAATGTTCAATTATACTCTGTTAAAACAAATTAAAAAACTAGAACACAAGATGTGTCTCTGAAGCACTTTTCAAAGGACATCAGCATACAAGACAGACTAAAATTCACTCCAAAATATAGTTCTAATTAAGCAAAACACTATCATCAATCCCCTTCACTGATGTCCTGAGTCTCAATAAACATATCCTCTCTTTCCCACAAGGAATTTAACTTCACCACTGCATACCTGAAATACACCTGCAGTGCAATGGAGATTGATAGAATATTGCTTATACAGGAGCACACATCAACCAAACAAAGAAGTTGCACAAGCAAAACCACATAATTCTTCATCTACTAGCCAATAGTCATGTAACAAATTAGCTTAAAAGTTTACCACATTCTAAATATGAACTGAAGTATACAATCAAATGCAAATTGGAAAGCGATGAAAACAGTGTTGCTCTGCAGAACTAACTGAAGTAATTCAACATTGTTCAATAAACTAAAAAGNTAGCCTTTTAATTAAATGTAAACTTCAAATGTCTTTTTAATAAACTCCCCCGACAAAAACGCACCGTATATCTGGATCCATTGTCTTATGTGGCTCATTTAGTTAAAAGAGAATAACTATTTCCCACCCAAGGTTAGGAAGCATTACTTTCCAACCCAACAGCTTTGAGAAAAACAATTTCCTACCCATCGTTAAGATGCCTTTATAAACTTTAACTAAAGAAGGACCGGATGCAAATACACTAAATATGAACTAAAGTATACAATCAAATGCAAATTGGAAAGCGATGAAAACAGTGTTGCTCTGCAGAACTAACTGAAGTAATTCAACATTGTTCAATAAACTAAAAAGCTGAAATGTACTAATAACCAGTTAGAGATTATACAATCGTTTTAGGCTTGGAAAGTTGACATAATACAGTTTGCTGGAAGAAACACAAATATTCATATCCAGAGCCTGAAAGCCTTCCTTCCTTTGATAGATATTAATCAATTCAGAAACCTGGTCCAAGTATTTTCTCACAAACCTATCCAAGAATAGCTTCTCAGCAGGTTTTACACATGAACTTAGGCTCAATTTTTTTTTCACCAACCCCTTTGATTGCAGAACTTTAATAACCAAAACCCTTCGGATTACCCTCTTTTCCAAACTCATTAGGAAAACGTCTGGAGACAAGGCAACATCTGTGGCTTTCCAACCCATCTTGTTCACAAGAAAATCCATTACATTCATTATTTTGATTTCAGAGGCATTCATAAAATTGGGCCATTTTCTGAAAACCAACATAATGTCCTCTTCAGACCATCCCAACCCCCTGAAAACATCCAATTTCTGTTCCAAGTTGATTGACTCATTACAACAAACACCTTCATCGCATGGATTTTTATAACATGATTTTATGGATTTTACTTCCACCAGCACCTGTTTGGAAACTTTGTATACTTATATTTATACTAGTTATAGTAGTATAAGTATTAATGTTGAGCCTCTCCTACAAGTTATATTAGACTTCTATGCCAAGTGGCAACGCAATTATTATTTGCATGGACTCTTGGATATATATAACTTTTATTAACTCTATGCTGTCAACAATGACGACAATGTTCTATTTTAATGTTCTATTTTAATATTCTATTATTTCAAAATTTATAAAACACTCTTAATTTAATTATATTGTGATGTTCACTGTACCTTCTCATCCGACCACATGTATACCGTTTGTCAACCAACGTTGTAGTACATCCAAATGTTTAGGCTATTCGCCTATAAAGTGGTACATGAGTTGAGTTCAAAATATCGTCATATAATATATAGTCCACATATGGTATGGTGTTATTTAAAAGAAGATTGCAAAAGTTTTATATATAAATCCAAACCAATTGATCGATCAAGGAAATGTAATGTTCAGTTATACTCTGTTAAAACAAATTAAAAAAAACTAGAACACAAGATGTGTCTCTGAAGCACTTTTCAGAGGACATCAACACAGAAAAAAGACTAAAATTCACTCCAAAATATAGTTCTAATTAAGCAAAACACGACCTATCAATCCCCTTCACTGATGTCCTGAGTCTCAATAAACATATCCTCTTTTCCACAAGGAATTTAACTTCACCACTGCATACTTGAAATGCACCTCCAGTGCAATGGAGATTGATAGAATATTGCAATTACAATTGTACAGGAGCACACATCAACCAAACAAGGAAGTTGCACAAGCAAAAACATCTATAATATTGTTCAAATCAATCAATATCACTCATTCATCTCTTTCTCTGACCTCCAAGCTTCACTGTAATTTGCTAGCAAGGAAGGGCTTGTTAGAAACTTTAGGGACCCAGAGTAAAACAAAACCACATTGTTCAATAAACTACAACACTGAAATGTAATAATCACCAATTAGAGATTATACAATCGTTTTAGGTTTGAAAAGTTGACATGCTACAATTTGCTGGAAGAGACATGGATATTCATATCCAGAGCCTGAAAGCCTTCCTTCCTTTGATAGATATTCATCAATTCAGGAACCTGGTCCAAGTATTTTCTCACAAACCTATCCAAGAATACCTTCTCGACAGGGTCTACACATGCACATAGGCTCAAATTTTTCTTCTGCAACCCCATCGCTTGCAGAACTTTAATTACCAAACACCTTGGGATTACCCTCTTTTCCAAGCTCAAAAGGAAAACCTTTGGAAACAAGGCAATATCTGTGGACTGCCAACCCATCTTTTTCACAAGAAAATCCATTCCATTCATTATTTTGCTTTCAGAGGCATTCATACAAATGGGGCATTTTTTGAACACCAACATAATGTCCTTATCAGACCACCCGCACCTCCTGAAAAGGTCAAATTTCTGTTCCAAAGTTGATTCAGTCATTGAAGCAAACACCTTCATTGCATGGATGAACCCACATTTCCGAGGATCAAAACCCATTTCAAGAACCTTCTTGACATTTTTGTCGAACTTCTCACGTTTTTGGAGGACTATAGGCACATAACATGTTAAAATCAGTGCAATAAACGGCGCGGGCATTCCAAGTTCTTTCAGGACTGCAAGTTTTGGAGACACATTCTTTGCCAAATCAAACGTAAAGAGCCATGATTCATTTCTAAACGATTTAATAATATTAGCATCAGAGAGTGGCACACTTTTGAGAAATTTAAAGTTAGGAATGAGTAGGTTCTCCAAACTGCGACTCAAAATAGCAGGAGCTGAGGAGCAAACACTCGCAAGCTCAGCATCTGTGATCCCCAAAGATTTGAAAAACTTAAATTTAGGTAATATTGACCTCTCCGGCTCGGCTAAAAGTAAACTAGGGCGCATTCTAACAAGTTTGGTTATATGGGAAGTCATAAATCCCCAGTTTCTTAGAACTCTCAGGACCGAATCTGGTCGTTCAGCGGATTGAAGCTTGATTATTTTGGAGAAAGATTTTGTTATTTCTGGGGATAACCCACATGAGTTTATGAGGTATGACACGGTAAATAAGTAATCGTCTCTAACTTGTTCGATTTCGGTGGAGAATGATCTAATGATAGTGGGCAACAAACTCAAACACAAATCCACATGATTAGTGCCTAAATTTTGCACAACACAACTATAAATATTTGGTAAAACTTGCGCAAGTACTAGCCTTCTATACAGATAACCACACATCATAATCGGTGAAAAGTATTAATCACAATGTATTGAAGGTTTTGTTCAGTATGTAGGTTTAACTCACCAGCTTGCAGAGGAGAAAAAGAAGACACTTCCGCTAACTGGTGTTCAGAGCAAATAAACATGAAAAATTGGTGCTATTACACAAGAAAATACTCTTGGATACGAAGCCTGTTGGAAAATTATTTTCATATGAGAAGCTTCAAATAATCATAGAATATCAGCAGAAAGTGTTTTCACTCTTTTCTTCACCTTCAAGAACGGTTAAACCTAAAGACAAAATTGTACCCAGTTGAGTAAAGGGCAATAGATGGAAATTGTGATTCTTGGGGTGGAAAAATCCGGTTAACCAAAAGCTTGAACCGAAACCGAACCGGTTTTCGGTTCAAAAAAATAATTGAACTGAAACTAGTCCGGTTTTGGTTAAAAACCGGTTATGAACAGAACCGAAAATTCGGTTTGGTTAACCGGTTTTAAACCGGTTAATTAGGATTAATGTTAGGCTTCATTTTTTTGGCCCAATTATGAATTATGGGCTGCATTTTTTGGCCCAATTCGATTTTCTCTTTTTAATTGCTAATCAAGCAATCTAAACGGCCTTGTTCTACCCAAAAACAACAAGAATAGTTGTTTCTTTTCGCTAATATTGTACTAATCAGGTAATTTTTCTATCTTTTAATCTTGTTTTGCAATTTCCTTTTTGTTCTGTTTGCTACACAAATTTGATATTAGCACTGAGAATTTCTATATCTACATATTCTATTGGGAGGTTTTGCATTTGTAGATGAAGAAACGAAAGCTTAAAAGCAGAGCAGAAGAGAATGGAACTTGAAGCAGAGAAAGACTGATGGTCCCAATACAAATATTTTCCATGCATCATTTATGTCTGGTCATGGTAGATGAGATTAGTGATGTCGTGTTTGCTGCACAAAATTTGATATACAAAATGTGTTGATGCTTCAATGTCAAAACCCAGCCATCACCATCAATACATATACAAATTAAAACAATTAAAACCAAAATCTTCAATGTCAAAACCCAGATCTAAAAACGTGACAACACAGATCTGAAAACCCAGATCTAAAACCTACTGGCAACAGACGACGACGGCGACTGCGACAACGGCAATTGCAGCTGAGCGACGATGACGTGAGAACACAGATCTGAAAACCCAGATCTAAAACCCACTGGAAACAAACGACGACTGCAATTGAGCAACGACGACGTGAGAACACAGATCTGAAAATGGAGAGACAATGGGAGCCTGCCAGAGAGTGAGAGACAGAGAATGAGACTGAGCGTGAGAGTGAGAGTGAGAGTGAGAGACAGAGACTGAGAGAGAATGCGAGACTTACCATGCGGCTGCAACTACGGTGTGCGGCATGCGGCAGTGAGAAATCTGAGAATCAGAGGATGCAATTGAGTGTAGATCTATTGACTGTTGTAGTGTTGTGTAAAGTTGTGTTAGTGTTAGACACAAGAGTGACAAGAGTAGAGTAAAAAACATAAAAAGTAAAAACAAATAAATAATTTTCGGTTCAGCAAACCGGTTCTGGGTAACTGGATTTTATTTTGCCAAAAACCGAACTGGATTTTTGGTTTTTTTAACAACCAAACCAAAACCAAAAAAACTGGATTTTTAGTCTGGTTTTAGTCCAGTTCGGTTTTTTTTTCCACCCCTAAGTGTGAAGGACTCACGGATATTTTTTGAAATTTCATGGACTTGGGTTATTTTAGGCAAAAATTAAGGGATTTTAACATATTTCTATATTTTTTTTTTGGGTCACAAGTTACTATTCTGTTAAATTTAATAAATAAGTAAAATCTAGCCCTCACATGGCGGCCAAAATTTGGCCACCGCAAGGGCCAAGAAGTAGCCAAGTGGTGCGGTGGCTGGGTGAATTTGGTGGCTGTTTTTGGAGTTTGTTTCGTGGATTGGATTTTTCTGTGTGTAGTGTGATTTCCGACCACCTCCCATCACCCACATCTTTGCCAACCAACTGTTCGACGAAAGGCTTCAACCACATTCATGAATACTAATTTGTTTTTGGAGTTTGTTTGATTGTTATGTTGGTCGCATGTGATTGAAGTTTCCTTTGATTACCGATGGTTGTTTGTAGCAGATCCTAACTGATTTTAGTGGAGTGGCTGGATGGTTGGAGTCTTGGAGATGGGGATGATGTGAAGGTTAAAGAAAATGGTGTTATTGAAATAAATTTGAAAGTAAGATAGTTATTTTTTAATTGAACTAATTTGGGGGTTAAATGGTAATCTATTAACACGTGTCACAACCTAAAAGTCCCTAATGGTGGTACTTTAAGGGTGGTAATCTGGAATCTATGAAATCAGGGGTAGGAACTTGTAATTTCGCAAAACCTTGGGTGAGATTGAGAACATGCCCTTACTCTGTTAGAACCCGCCACTTTCAAAGCCTCTCAAAGAAACCGTGTCCAGTAGTTGACCCCAGTCGATTTCTCCCATTCAAATGGCGTATGATCTTGTTTCTTAACTCTTTTTTAATTTACAATTATAGCGTCTTCTACCCTCCTAAATCAGAAAACCATGACACAAACTAATGGTAATGGAAGTAAAACCCGAAAATGTGCTACTCCATTACACTCTTGATAAAAAACAAATTAAAAAATAGTTTAAGAAACAAGATCATACGCCATTTCAATGCATACAGCAACATCCATCAAAAAGAGAAGAAAGTGGGGGAACTTTTATTTTCGGATTGACATGGACAAACAACAATTAGAGATTTGTATAACATGATTTAAACAATCAGAACTGATACAAGAAGTCTAAGCTGTATTCAGAGCTTAATAGGTTCAGGGCCAAAGGCACTCACATTAACAAGCAACAATAAAAAGAAATAAAACCAACAAATAACAAGCTACAGTTGGTTTGTCTCAGGTTTTTGCTAAAATCCAATGCCCAGTTCTGAAAGATCAACTTTCCCTTGATATATATCAAATAGTTGTGGAACCTGTTCCTGATACTTGGACAAGAAATTGTCTGCGAAGACCTTTTCAGAGGAATTCAGCACATAAGACAAACTGATTTTTTTCTTAATCAAGTCCTTCAACGACAAAACCCTGAAAACCCTGCATCTCGGGATGATTCTCTTCTCCAAACTATAAGCTAAAACCGAAGGTGTTCTAGCAATTGCTGAAGGTTGCCAACCCATCTTGTTCACATAAAAGTCCATTTTGGTATTTATATTCTCCACAGACAGAATCATACATCTGGGACAGCTTCTAAAAGCTAACCGGAAGTCATTTTCAGACCAACCCCAACTCCTATAAACCTTCAGTTTTTGTGTCACTCCAATTCCGTTCAAAGCAGAGATATTGGGTACAACTTTCTTTTGCACATCATGCAAATAAGTTGCTCGCTTCCGAACATTAACAATTTCTTCATCGTTGGTAACGAAACTCTTGAGGAAATTATAGCTAGGGATACTTTGTTTCTCTAAGCTCTGGCACAAAATACCAGGGTTTGAGGAAAGTATATTCGCAACTTCAGTACCAGAAATCCCCAGAGAATGGAAAAACTCAAGTTTGGGTAAAAGAGTTTTCTCAACCCTGCCTGAAAGCAATTTCGGTTTTTTTTTAACTAGTTTGGATATGTGGGCATCGGTGAACCCATTTTTTCTGAGAAGGCCAAGTACAGAATCTGGCTTTTCTGGGGTTTCAAAAGATACTTTCTTTGATAAAGAAGCAGCAACTTCTGGGGACAACCCACATGAGTTTATGAGATAAGACACTGTGAATGAATGTTGTTTGGGTTGTTTTTTCTCTATCATGTGCCACAACTTCAACCGATGAGAAAGATTTAGAAAAAAGTGATGTATTCTGCAAAACAAAACTCAAATGGATAGACGAGTATGCCACATTTCTCCAATTTGGGACTAGTTGAAATTGCAGTCTTTTACAGCACAAACGAAACATGGCCAAATCAAATGCAAATTAAGAAAACAGAAGAAGAAGAGCAAGAAGGTACTCACGAATTATTCAGCTTGAACTGGGTATTTGATTGCGAATCTTTATACAAATGCCCTCGTGGAATGGCAACACACATTTGACATTTCTGATAAACTGCTTTTAGGGTTTTTACTTTTCAAATTCTCGTCTTGCGTTATTGCTATCTATCGTGAGACCAAAACGCACCGTATATTCAAGTTGAAACTTGAAAGGTCTTGAATCTGGAGCCGTTGTCTTACGTGGCCATGTAATTAACAGAGAATAACAGGTTCCCTACCCAGCTTTGGCGTAATTAATTTTCCCACGCAAAATCTGAGAAAGATAATTACCCACCGAGTGCTATTACATTTACACCATTCTTTTACATTATATTTATTACATATATATATCACAATCATATAAAATTTTAATTATTTAAAATTTTTAATATTATAATAGAATTTGTATGGTTGTGACATATGTCACGTTATGATGTAATAAAAATAATGTAAAAGAGTGGTGTAAATGTAGCATTATTTTTATCCACCCATTGCTAAAATTTGTCTATTAACTTTAACCAGAGATGATAGATTAATTGAAAACCAAAAAATCAACGATTTAAAAATCTCTCTAAGTCCATTTAGCGAAGCTTCCCAAGGATAGAATTATTTTTGCTTCTCCAAATTCAAATCCATACCCAAACCCAAACTCAAACCTGACTCCAAATCCTCCAACACCAAATTAATACAAGATGAACAAAACCCAGATCCCAACCCTAACCTAGCAATGGCAATGGTGGTGATGGCTACAATTTTGGTTGTTTAATCAATACCCTAACTATCAAATTCTAATCGAGTATTGAAACCTACCATCGTGATCTGTAGGAGTTTGGGACGAGTCTAAGAAAGGAACTAGAGGTGGCCCACGGATTCCTAGGAACAATAGGTACCATCATTGACGAGTTTGGAAACATTGTTTTGAAAGGAACTGCCAAATCATCTCTCATGAAACTCACTTGTTGAGTAAGTACAAAAGTCAGCTTAGTGATTCAACGGTACCAATAGAGGATTGTCGATCAATGAATAAAAGTTACTGTAAAAATAACAAGTTAATCTTTCTTGAGGGTTCATTGATGAGAAAGTTCGACACTTCAATATATACTCTTTGTCATCTAGGTTAGCATGTCCCAATGGTTAAGTTATTTGCCTACTAAAATGGTACGTGAGTTGAGTTCACAATAAACTACCACTGGATGACATGATGGTAAAAGAGTAAAATGAGGTTTCATAAGCTTCTGAGTTCGAACCCTCACAAGTGCTAATAAGGGTGACCATTGAGGGGCTTATCTGGTTGTCAACTTCAGGGATCTGGGGGATGGGTTGAGATACGCACAAACTGGCTCAGACAACCCCGATCACCCAAAAAAAAAAATGAGTTGAGTTCACAATATTGTGATATAGTGTAGTCCACATCTGGGGTGGTGTTAAAACATTGAGAGAACACTTACTTAGGGCAAGAGGATCTGAAATGACTCACTTTTATGTACAAGTTATTATGAATTCACCTAAGATTAGATATATGCAAATGGCCAAATGTCAATTCAATTCTTACGACAACATCCATCAAGAAAAGATAAAGGGAATGTTTATTTTCTGATTGACATGGGGCAAACAACAGAACCAAATTAGAGATTTGTATAACATGAATTACTCAGTACATTACTCCTGTGTGTTCACCAACTTCATTCATTTCAATTTGTCCAATTAGACAATGACAACTGATAAAAGAAGTTCAGGGCCAAAGACACCCAAATTAACAAACAACGATAAGAAAATCATGTGTCTAAAGAATTAACAAATGACAAGCTACGGTTGATGATGCCTAGCTCCAAAAGATCAATTTTCCCTTGAAATATATCAAACAGTTGCGGAACCTGTTTCTGATACCTTGGACAAAAAAATGTCTATGAAGTACTTTTCAGAGGACATCAGCACAGAAGACATACTAAAATTCACTCCAAAATATAGTTCAAGCTAAGCAAGACTACCTATCAAACCCCTTCACTGACGTCTTGAGTCTCAATAAACATATCCTCTTTCACTCAAGGAATTTAACTTCACCACTGCATACCTGAAATCCGCCTCCAGTGCAATGGAGATTGATAGAATATTGCAATTACAGTTATACAGGAGCACATGTCAAACAAACAAAGAAGTTGCACAAGCAAAAATATCACAGCATCATATCTGTAATATTGTTCAAGTCAATCAAACTCATTCATCTCTTTCTCTGACCTCCAAGCTTCACTATAATTTGCCAGAAAGGAAGAGCTGGTTAGAAAGTAGAAACGCCAGGGACCTGGAGTAAATCAAAACCACATAATTCTGCTTCTACTAGTCATATAACAAATTAGCTTAGAAGTTTACCACATTCTAAATATGAACTAAAGTATACAATCAAATGCAAATTGGAAAGCGATGAAAACAGTGTTGCTCTGCAGAACTAACTTAAATAATTCAACATTGTTCAATAAACTAAAAAGCTGAAATGTACTAATCACCAATTAGAGATTATACAATTGTTTTAGGCTTGGAAAGTTGACATGCTACAGTTTGCTGGAAGAAACACAAATATTTATATCCAGAGCCTGAAAGCCTTACTTCCTTTGATAGATATTAATCAATTCAGAAACCTGGTCCAAGTATTTTCTCACAAACCTACCCAAGAATAGCTTCTCAGCAGGTTTTACACATGAACTTAGGCTCAAATTTTTTTTTACCAACCTCTTTGATTGCAGAACTTTAATAACCAAACACCTTCTGATTACCCTCTATTCCAAACTCATTAGGAAAACGTCTGGAGACAAGGTAATATCTGTGGACTGCCAACCCATCTTGTTCACAAGAAAATCCATTACATTCATTATTTTGATTTCAGAGGCATTCATAAAATTGGGCCATTTTCTGAAAACCAACATAATGCCCTCGTCAGACCATCCCCACCCCTTGAAAATGTCCAATTTCTGTTCCAGAGTTCATTGAATCATTACAACAAACACCTTCATCGCATGGATGAACCCACATTCCTGAGATTTGTATAACATGATTTAATCATTACTTCCTCCTGTGTGTTTTCATCAACTTCATTCATTTCAGTTTGTCCAATTAAACAATGAGAACTGATACAAGAAGCTCTAGGCTGTATTCAGAGCTGAATAAGTTCAGGGCCAAAGGCACTCACATTAACAAGCAACAATAAAAAGAAAAAAACCAACAAATAACAAGCTACAGTTGGTTTGTCTCAGGTTTTTGCTAAAATCCAATGCCCAGTTCTGAAAGATCAACTTTCCCTTGATATATATCAAATAGTTGTGGAACCTGTTCCTGATACTTGGACAAGAAATTGTCTGCGAAGCGCTTTTCAGAGGAACTCAGCACGTAAGACAAACCGAATTTTTTCTTAATCAAGTCGTTCAACAACAAAACCCATAAAACCCTGCATCTCGGGATGATTCTCTTCTCCAAACTATAAGCTAAAGCCCTAGGTGTTCTAGCAATTGCTGAAGGTTGCCAACCCATCTTGTTCACATAAAAGTCCATTTTGGTATTTATATTCTCCACAGACAGAGTCATACATCTGGGATAGCTTCTAAAAGCTAACCGTAAGTCATTCTCAGACCAACCCCAACACCTGTAAACCTTCAGTTTTTGTTCCCAGGAATTGTCAGTCATGGTCGTAACTGCTACGAGTGCATCAATAAATGCACTGGTTGAAGGATTGAATCCCATTTCGATAACCTTCTTGATACTTTTATCTAACTTTTTAGAACTTCCTCACAATACACAAGGATTTGAGGTCACCAAAGTTGAAATACCTGATTGTGTCATTCCAATTCCTTTCAAGGCAGAGATATTGGGAACAACTTTCTTTTGCATATCATGCAAACGAATTACCCGCTTATAAATATTGACAATTTTTTCATTGTTGGAAACCAAACTCTTAATGAAATTGTAGTTAGGAATAATTTGTTTCTCTAAGCTCTGACACAAAATAGAAGGGTTTGAGGACAGTACATTCGCAAGGTCAGCACTAAAAATCCCCAAGGAATGGAAAAACTCAAGCTTGGGTAAAAGAGTTTCTTCAACGCTGCCTACAAGCAATTTCGGTTTTTTTTTAACTAGTTTGGATATGTGCGCATTGGTAAACCCATTTTTCCTGAGAAAGCCAAGTACAGCATCTGGCTTTTCTGGGGTTTCAAAAGCTACTTTCTTTGATAAAGAAGCAGCAATTTCTGGGGACAACCCACATGAGTTTATGAAATAAGACACTGTGAATGAATGTTGTTTTTCTCTATCACGTGCCACAACTTCAACCGATGAGAAAGATTTAGAAAAAAGTGATGTATTCTGCAAAACAAAACTCAAATGGATCGACGAGCATGCCACATTTCTCCAATTTGGGACTAGTTGAAATTGCAGTCTTTTGCAGCCCAAAGGAAACATGGCCAAATCAAATAAAAATTAAGAATAAAAAAGAAGAAGAAAAGCAAGAAAGTACTCACGAATTGTTTCAAATTTTCAGCTTGGACTGGGCATTTGATTGCGAATCTGTATATAAATGCCCTCGTAGAATTACAACACAGATTTGATAAACTGCTTTTAGGGTTTCCCCTTTTCAATCTTGCGTTATTGCTCTCCATCACGAGACGTGACTGATTTAATTAAGAGAGAATAACAATTCCCCACCCAAGGTTTGGCGTAATTCATTTCCACCCAAAGACTTTGATAAAAACAATTGCCCACCCATCATTAAGAAACGTCTATTAATTTTAACTGAAGATGGATAGGATTGTAAATTCACTAGAAGCTTTAAAATCAACGATTTAAAATTTTCTTTCCTGGTCCGTGGACCGTGTAACGAAGTTTCCCAAGGATAAGATTCTCCAAACCCAAACCCTACTCCATCAAGAATTTCTTTAAATCCGTTTTTTTCGATGATACTAATTCAGTGATGCCCAACCAAAACCCGACTCCAAATTCTCCAATCCTAAATTGCTACCAGATGAACAAAACCCAGATCCCAACACTCCTCCCAAACTCTAGCCTAGCAATCTGCAGGAGTTTGGGACAAGTCTAAGAAAGGAACTTGAGGTGTCCCAAGGATCCATAAGGATAGTTGGTTCCGTCATTGACGAGTTTGGAAACACCGTTTTGAAAAGGACGACCCTGATCATCTCTCACCATAAGGATGCTATCCAAGTGATTGAATCTCATTAATCCGATAATAATACTAATCAAAATAATAATTGTGGTAATACAAACCGTATAGTCGTTTGGATGCTCAGGTTCATGTAATTCAAGGAGATATAAATAGGTATTGTAAGGAAGTTGATGATTTAGATCAATATAATAAGTGGAAATCTAGGATTGTTTTGGATATGATGAATGAGGAAATAAGAGCATGTTTGAACAAAATGGTGCTTGGTTGGGATGAGATTGAGGATCTTAGCAGCATTGATGAGAAGAAAGTGACTCATGATGGGAGCCCAAATAGAGCTGACTTGAGGAAGCGACTGCATTTTGCAAAAGAAGAGGAAGACTTAGTTGGGATATTGAAGATGAGGACGAGCCAGTTAAAGCACGATACACCATGAATCTTAAGTTCTTAAATTCTTAGAATTGATTGCATTATGTTCCTTTTTACCTCCATATTAGGAAGAGGAAGACTTGAGTTGGGATATTGAGGATGAGGACGAGAGAGAAATTTTTAAGTAGTTGATTTTTCGGCTTCCACTAAATTTACGATTCTGTCTTTCTTCAATTAAAGTTAATAGATAGATCATAACAATGGATGAAAAAAATGTTTTTTTCCAAAGTTTTTGGGTGAGAAAAAGTTTTTACACCATACCTTAGGCGGAAAATTGTCATTCTGTCTCAAAAACAATTGTGGGTCTGTTTGGTTTAGTATTTTGGATAGGATTTTAGGGATAGTATTGGGTTATTGGATATGGGAGTATTACGAGGTAAATTTTAAAAATTTATAAAAAAGCCCTTAGGTTTACTAATTTAACTAAAGACCCTAACATGTAAAATAACAAAAACACCCCCACCATCTGCAGTGTCAGATTCCGGCCACCACCGCCGGAATCTGGCCGGAAAATTTCGTTACGGCACAGACTTGTCGGATCTGTGCCGTAACACGTCGTTATGGCCTTTTCCGGCTAGATCCATGGTGGATCTGGCCGGAAAAGGCCAGATCTACGGTTTGTTTTGGCCGTCGACGGCCGGAAAAGGCCAAACGACGGCCATCTTTGGCCGTCAGCGACGGCCAAAGATGTGGCCGTCGTTTTCGGTCAACGACGGCCAAGATTTGGCCGTCGTTGACCGTCAACGACGGCCATTTCTTTGGCCGTCGCTGACGGCCAGATCTGGCCTTTTCCGGCCAGATCCGTGGTGGATCTGGCCGGAAAAGGCCACAGCGGTGAACTTCCGGCCATTTCTGGTCGGAAGTTTGGCCGTTGTACAGATTCCGGCTATCACCGACGGTGGTTGCCGGAATCTGACAAGTTGGGTTGATGGGGGTGTTTTTGTTAATTTTTAAACTTTTTTTTCAGGGGGTATTTAGTGAAATTAATAACCTTATGGGGTTAAAATGTAATTAAAAAAAATAGGGTAATATTTAGAGAATATTGTACCAAACGCTATTTGAAAAATAGGATCCAGAATAGGGATAAAAATATTAAACCAAACGCAGCATCCCTAATTAGATACTAAATTTAAAACACATAATTTAAGATAAATTTTCATAACCTTTTTAATTGTAATAATAATAATAATAATTAAAAAAAAAAGATGCATTCATAATTTTATATTTAATTAAATATTAAAATGAAAATTTCTATAAAAACCTCATCATGTTGTCGAATTTCTTCTTTTAGCTACAACTCTATCATTGTGTTAAGATCTAGAGGGTGAGGAGTCTTGGGTAGACGGTTTTTATGTGAGGTATACCTCTCAAAAGATTTATTAGACTGAATGAAAGAGTTTAAAAGTAGAGGGATCTTGACCCGGGTGTCGAGTGGCTCGACTCGGCTCTGCTCATCTACAGTGAATGGGAAACTCGCTTGTTGGAAAAGGATGATCGTCGGCTTAGTGATTCCATGATAGCAATGAAAGGGTTGTCAATCAATAGATAAAAATTACGCTAAAAATAACTAGTTAATCTTTCTTAAGAGTTCATTAATGGAAAAGTTTGGCACTTCAATGTATACCGTTTGTCATCCAACGTTGTAGCACATCCAAATGTTTAGGTTATTTGCCTATAAAGGGGTACGTGAGTTGAGTTTAGAATATCGTGAATTCGTGACATAATATAGTCCACATATGGTGTGGTGTTATTTAAAAAAAGATTGCAAAAGTTTTATATTGAAATCCAAACCAATTGATCGATCAAGGAAATGTAATGTTCAGTTATACTCTGTTAAAACAAATTAAAAAAACTAGAACACAGGATGTGTCTCTGAAGCACTTTTCAGAGGACATCAGCACAGAAAACAGACTAAAATTCACTCCAAAATATAGTTCTAATTAAGCAAAACACGACCTATCAATCCCCTTAACTGATGTCCTGAGTCTCAATAAACATTTCCTCTTTTCCACAAGGAATTTAACTTCACCACTGCATACCTGAAATGCACCTCCAGTGCAATGGAGATTGATAGAATATTGCAATCACAAGAGCACACATCAACCAAACAAAGAAGTTGCACAAGCAAAAATATCTAAAATATTGTTCAAGTCAATCAACACCACTCATTCATCTCTTTCTCTGACCTCCAAGCTTCACTGTAATTTGCTAGCAGGGAAGGGCTTGTTAGAAACTTTAGGGACCCAGAGTAAATCAAAACCACATTGTTCAATACACTAAAACGCTAAAATGTAATAATCACCAATTAGAGATTATACAATCGTTTTAGGTTTTGGAAAGTTGACATGCTACAGTTTGCTGGAAGAGACATGGATATTCATATCCAGAGCCTAAAAGCCTTCCTTCCTTTGATGGATATTCATCAATTCAGGAACCTTGTCCAAGTATTTTGTCACAAACCTATCCAAGAATACCTTCTCAACAGGGTCTACACATGCACATAGGCTCAAATTTTCCTTCACCAACCCCTTCGCTTGCAGAACTTTAATTACCAAACACCTTGGGATTACCCTCTTTTCCAAGCTCAAAAGGAAAACCTTTGGAAACAAGGCAATATCTGTGGACTGCCAACCCATCTTTTTCACAAGAAAATCCATTCCATTCATTATTTTGCTTTCAGAGGCATTCATACAAATGGGGCATTTTTTGAACACCAACATAATGTCCTTATCAGACCACCCGCACCTCCTGAAAAGGTCAAATTTCTGTTCCAAAGTTGATTCAGTCATTGAAGCAAACACCTTCATTGCATGAATGAACCCACATTTCCGAGGATCAAAACCCATTTCAAGAACCTTCTTGACATTTTTGTCGAACTTCTCACGTTTTTGGAGGACTATAGGCGCATAACATGTTAAAATCAGTGCAATAAACGGTGCAGGCATTCCAAGTTCTTTTAGGACCGCAAGTTTTGGAGACACATTCTTTGCCAAATCAAACGTAAAGAGCCATGATTCGTTTCTCAACGATTTAATAATATTAGCATCAGAGAGTGGCACACTTTTGAGGAATTTAAAGTTAGGAATGAGTAGGTTCTCCAAACTGCAACTCAAAATAGCAGGAGATGAACAGCAAACACTCGCAAGCTCAGCATCTGTGATCCCCAAAGATGTGAAAAACTCAAATTTAGGTAAAATTGACCTCTCCGGCTCGGCTAAAAGTAAACTAGGGCGCATTCTAACAAGTTTGGTTATATGGGAAGTCGTAAATCCCCAGTTTCTTAGAACTTTCAGGACCGAATCTGGTCGTTCAGCAGATTGAAGCTTGATTCTTTTGGAGAAAGATTTTGCTATTTCTGGGGATAACCCACATGAGTTTATGAGGTATGACACAGTAAATAAGTAATCGTCTCTAACTTGTTCGATTTCAGTGGAGAATGATCTAATGATAGTGGGAAACAAACTCAAACACAAATCCACATGATTAGTGCCTAAATTTTTCACAACACAACTGTAAATATTTGGTAAAACTTGCGCAAGTACTAGCCTTCTATACAGATAACCACACATCGTAATCGGTGAAAAGTATTAATCACAATGTATTGACGGTTTTGTTCAGTATGTAGGTTTAACTCACCAGCTTGCAGAGGAGAAAAAGAAGACACTTCCGCTAACTGGTGTTCAGAGCAAATAAACATGAAAAATTGGTGCTATTACACAAGAAAATATTCTTGGATACGAAGCCTGTTGGAAAATTATTTTCATGTGAGAAGCTTCAAATAATCATAGAATATCAGGAGAAAATGTTTTCACTCTTTTCTTCACCTTCAAGAACGGCTAAACCTAAAGGCAAAATTGTACCCAGTTGAGTAAAGGGCAATAGAGAGAAATTGTGAAGGACTCACGGATATTTTTGAAATTTCATGGACTTGGGTTATTTTAGCCAAAAATTAAGGGATTTTAACATATTTCTATATTTTTTTTGGTCACAAGTTTCTTTTCTGTTAAATTTAATAAAGAAGTAAAATCCAGCCCTCACGTGGCGGCCAAAATTTGGCCAGCGCGAGGGCGAAGAAGTAGCCATTTGGCCACTGCTTTTGGCCCATGCAAAGGCCAAATCTGGCCACCACAAGGCCTCCACGCGGACGACCAGATGTGACCACCGTGTGGAGGTGTTGTGGCGGCCAGATATGGCCTTCGCGTGGGCCAAATAGCTGCTTCTTGGCCCTTGCAGTGGCCAGATTTTGGCTGCCACGTGAGGTCCTCGTGGTGGCAAAATCCAGCCGCCATGTGGCCCTCATGCGGCGGCAAAAAACTGGCCACCATGAGGGCCAAGCAACGATGGAGAGAAGGAGAGAAGAAAGAAAGGAAGAATAAGAGAAGAAAAAAAAGGAAAGAGGAGGAGAAAGGAAGGAATTGCAGGTGGTGCTGTGGTTAGGTGGATTTGGTGACTATTTTTGGAGTTTGTTTTCCTGGATTGGATTTTTTTTTGTGTAGTATGATTTTCGGCCATCTTCTGTCAACCTCCCACAAGCCACCCACATCTTTGCCCACCAACTGTTCGACGAAAGGCCTCAACCACATTCATGAATACTAATTTGTTTTTGGAGTTTGTTTGATTGGTATGTTGGTCGCATGTGGCTGGGTGGCAGTGGCTGGATGGTTGGAGATGGGGACGATGTGGAGGTTAAAGAAAAGGGTGTTATTGAAATAAATTTGAAAGTAAGATAGTTATCTTCTAATTCAACTAATTTGGGGCTTAAATGGTAATTTATTAACATGTGTCACAACCTAAAAGTCGCTAAAGATGGTACTTTAACCCTTTAAGGGTGAAAATCTGGAATTTATGAAATTAGGGGTAAGAACTTGTAATTTCGCAAAATCTTGGGTGAGAAGTTGAGAACATGCCCTTTCTCTGTTAAAACCCGCCATTTGCAACGCGTCTCAAACAAACCGTGTCCAATAGTTGACCCAATAAATTTCTCCCATTATAGCGTCTTCTACTCCTCCTTAATCAGAAAACCATGACACAAACTAATGGTAATGGAAGTAAAACCCGAAAATGTGCTACTCCATTACACTCTTGATAAAAAACAAATTAAAAAATAGTTTAAGAAACAAGATCATACGCCATTTCAATGCATACAGCAACATCCATCAAAAAGAGAAGAAAGTGGGGGAACTTTTATTTTCGGATTGACATGGACAAACAACAATTAGAGATTTGTATAACATGATTTAAACAATCAGAACTGATACAAGAAGTCTAAGCTGTATTCAGAGCTGAATAAGTTCAGGGCCAAAGGCACTCACATTAACAAGCAACAATAAAAAGAAATAAAACCAACAAATAACAAGCTACAGTTGGTTTGTCTCAGGTTTTTGCTAAAATCCAATGCCCAGTTCTGAAAGATCAACTTTCCCTTGATATATATCAAATAGTTGTGGAACCTGTTCCTGATAATTGGACAAGAAATTGTCTGCGAAGACCTTTTCAGAGAAATTCAGCACATAAGACAAACTGATTTTTTTCTTAATCAAGTCCTTCAACGACAAAAACCTGAAAACCCTGCATCTCGGGATGATTCTCTTCTCCAAACTAAAAGCTAAAGCCGAAGGTGTTCTAGCAATTGCTGAAGGTTGCCAACCCATCTTGTTCAGATAAAAGTCCATTTTGGTATTTATATTCTCCACAGACAGAATCATACATGTGGGATAGCTTCTAAAAGCTAACCAGAAGTCATTTTCAGACCAACCCCAACTCCTATAAACCTTCAGTTTTTGTTCCCAGGAATTGTCTGTCATGGCCATTACTGCTACAAGCGCATTGACAAACGCACTGGTTGAAGGATTGAATCCCATCTCGATAACCCTCTTGACACTTTCATCAAGCTTTTCAGAACTTTCACACAATACACCAGGATTTGAGGCGACCAAAGTTGAAAAACTTGAATGTGTCACTCCAATTCCTTTCAAGGCAGAGATATTGGGTACAACGTTCTTTTGCACATCATGCAAAAAAGTTGCTCGCTTCCAAACATTAACAATTTTTTCATTGTTGGAAACCAAACTCTTGAGAAAATAATAGTTAGGGATAATTTCTTTCTCTAAGCTCTGGCACAGAATACCAGGGTTTGAGGAAAGTACATTCGCAAGGTCAATACCAGAAATCCCCACAGAATGGAAAAACTCAAGTTTGGGTAAAAGAGTTTTCTCAACCCTGCCTAAGAGCAATTTCGGTTTTTTTTTAACTAGTTTGGATATGTGGGCCTCGGAAAACCCATTTTTTCTGAGAAGGCCAAGTACAGAATCTGGCTTTTCTGAGGTTTCAAAAGCTACTTTCTTTGATAAAGAAGCGGCAATTTCTGGGGACAACCCACATGAGTTTATGAAATAAGACACTGTGAACGAATGTTGTTTTTCTCTATCATGTGCAACAACTTCAACCGATGAGAAAGATTTAGAAAAAAGTGATGTATTCTGCAAAACAAAACTCAAATGGATCGACGAGTATGCCCAATTTGGGACTAGTTGAAATTGCGGTCTTTTGCAGCACAAACGAAACATGGCCAAATCAAATGCAAATTAAGAAAAAAGAAGCAGAAGAGCAAGAAGGTACTCACGAATTATTCAGCTTGAACTGGGTATTTGATTGCGAATCTTTATACAAATGCCCTCGTAGAATGGCAACGCACATTTCTGATAAACTGCTTTTAGGGTTTTCACTTTTCAAATTCACGTCTTGCGTTATTGCTCTCCAGCATGGAGACCAAACGCACCGTATGTTCAATTTGAAACTTGAAAGGTCTTGAATGTAGAGCCGTTGTCTTTCGTGGCTCATCTAATTAAGGAGAATGACAATTTCCACCCAAGCTTTGGTGTAATTACTTTCCCACCCAAAAACTTGAGAATACAATACCCACCCATCGTTAAAATCCATTTGTAACTTTTACCAAGAGTACATTATTTGCAATTCCAAATCGATACCCAAATCCAAAGCCTACTCCATCATGAGTTTCTTCAAATCTATGTTTTTTCAACTGAACTAATCCCAACCAAAACCTGACTACGAATCCTCCAACACCAAATTACTACCAAATGAACAAAACCCAGATCCCAACACTCCTCCCAAACCCCAACCTAGCAATGACAGTGGTGTTGATGGATGAAGTTTTAATGGTTTAATCAAAACCTAACCGTCAAATCTGAATCAATTGTTGAAACCGTTATTGCAATGAAGAGTTCAGACGGTCTAAGAAGGAACTGAGGTGACCCAGAGATCTATAGGGACAATCAGTACCATCATTAACGAGGTGGAAACACTGTTTTGAAAGGGGCAACCTAAATCATTTCTTATGGTAAGGATGCTATCCTAGCAGTTGATCACAAATCCAATGCATCTATTATAATACTAATTAGAATATAATATTTGACAACGTAAACCGATAGTTGTTTTGATGCTCATGTTCGTGTGATTCAAGGAGATGTAAATACATATTGTGTGGAAGATGATGATTTAATGATTATAATTGAATGAGGAATTGGGAGGTGTTTAAACAAAACCGGTGCTTGGTTGGGATGAGATTGAAGATCTTAGCAACATTGATGAGAAGAAAGTGACTCATGCTAGGAGCCCAAATAGAGCTTACTTAAGGAAGCGATTGAGTGTTGTAGAAGAAGAGGAAGACTGAGTTGGGATATGAAGATGTGGGCTAGAGAGATTTTAATCGTTGATTTCGGCTCATTGAATTTACCATCTTATACTTCTATAAAGTTAACAGCGGATAACAATGTGTGAAAATTTGTTTTTTTTAAAGTTTTTAGGGGCAAAATGTAATTACACCACTTGGGTGGGAAATTGTCATTCTTTCTCAAAACAATTGTAATTTATCACATCCCTAATTTGATATAAAATTCAAAACACATAAAAAAAGATGAGCAAACGACTTTTTCCCACTCAAATAAGGGTTAATGATACTTTACACCACAAACTTTTAAAATACCACTTTACTATCAAATTTATCTTCTGTTTCTGTTTCGACACCGTTGTAAACCTACACACCACCATCTTTTCCTAATCATCACTCACCAAAACCGTTTGTGCAACCGCGTCTCTCAAGTTAAATTCCAATCAACCCAACCACCAAAATTCAACCTTTACCACCAAAGACTCATAGCCCTCCATTTCAATTCGCCACCGGAATATGAATTTGGCTAATAAAATAATATTTTAAAAGTTGTTGGGTGAAAAAGTGTCATTAAGCCATATTTAGGGGAAAAAAGTAGTTAACTCTAAAAAAGATGTACAAAATCCCTACTTAATGGTGTAGTATTATTTAAGTATAGTTTTCTATACAGCTTGTAGGCTCCTTGTTGGTTACTATAACCTTATTACATTCTTTATGACTCTTTTTTTTTTTTTTTTTTTTTTTTTTTTTTTTTTTTTTTGTGATCTTAAAAGTTCTTTTTGTTTTTTAATCTTATTTCAAGTTGAGAGATTTTAAATATTTTGTTTTTGACTTTCAATGTGAAAATTCAACTTAGTTGATAATGTTATTTTAATATCCTTGCAAGTAGACTTGATTTTATTTATTTTTTAGGATTTTTTTTTTTTCCTACAAGAAGCTTATTATGTTTATGGGTTATATTAGTGGGTAGCTCCTTATTAATACCCAAAAAGATGTATCCATAATTTTAAATTTAATCAAATATTGAAATGATGATTTCTATAAAAACCTCAACATGTTGTTTAATTTCTTTTTTCTTAGCTAAAACTCTATCATTGTATTAAGGTCTACAGGGTAAGGGATAGTTTAGGGTAGACGGCTTTTATGTGGTGTAGATTGTAGACCTCTCAAAAGATAACTTGAGGTGTACAAAGGTTTTATTAGGACGAGTTAACAGCTTTTTCCCACCCAAAAAATGGTTTAATGATATTTTTCTATTTACAGACTTTTAAAATATCACTTTATTATCCAAATTTATATTTTGATGGCAAATAGAAAGCAAACTCGGTCCAAACTATTGGGTCTTTTGAAGAGGAGAGGTCGATGAGTCTTTTGGTGGTGGAATGTTTGATTTTAGTAGTTAAAATTGATCGAAATTTGAATTGAGAGGGTAGTTGCGCAAACCCTAATCGTTTGATTGTCGACGTTGGCAAGGTCGGCAAGACTAGGGTTTGAGGGGTTTTGGTAGTGATGATCGAGACAGAGAATAGAGGTGGTGTGGGGTTGCAACGATACCGGAGTAAAAAAGGGAACATAAATTTAGGTAATAAAGTGATATTTTAAAAGTCTGTGGGTGAGAAAAGACATTAAGTCATTATTTGGGTGGGAAAAAGTTGTTTACTCATATGAGGCCGAGTGAAAGAGTTCAAAGAGAGAGGGAGCTTGACTAGGAAGCTAACTTCTTGTGTAAGAACGAAAGTCAACTTAGTGATTCGACAATACCAATGAAAAGGTTTTCGATCAATGAATAAAAGTTACTCTAAAAATAACAAGTTAATCTTTCTTAAGAGTTCACTTATGGGAAAGTTTGATACTTCAGTGTATAGTATTTGTCATCTAGGGTTGTAGCATGTTCTAATGGTTACACTATTCGCCTACTAAAGTGTTACGTGAGTTAAGTTCAGAATGTCGTGATATAGTATAGTCCACATCTAGTGTGGTTGTAAAACATTGAGAGAACATTTACGTAGGGTAGGTGGATCAAAAAGTTAGGTTTTATATTGAAACTACTTTTGGACAGTCGAGTGGTTTGATAGAGACTCTTGAATGTATTACTCAAGAAGTTCTGAGTTCGAATCTCTCATCAATTGCTAATTGAGATAGCCATTAAAGCTCTTACTCGACAAATCGTTTCAAGATTCCAGGGATTTAGGTTAGGACTACGTAAGCTGACTAGGACACCTCCGGTCATTAAAAAAAAGAAAAAAGTTTTATGTTGAATTCTCTAGCATATTATGGATTATTATTTGGGATCCAAGATTAAATCTATGCAAGGGCCAAATGTCTTGCATTTAGTTTATAACATGATTAAAAACAAATTTGTTAAAGTATTAGCTGTCCATATTTTAGAATTGAAGAAACAAACAATATAAATTTATTATCTTTTTTTTTTTTTTTTTTGATTAAAAAAAAAAAAAAAACCTTTAAAATCCCCATAATTAGACATTATAAATAAATCACCTATACATAATTTTCTACTAATTTCACGTCCTATAATAATAGAATTTTTAATTTAATTTATATTTGAACGCATTACTAAAATACAGTCCAAGCTTCTTCACCATATTATATAATAAAAATATTTGATTAACATGATATAACCATGAAAAAAAATGAGAATCTGAGTGATATATTGAAGTTACACATGTAGTTTAAGTTAATATTAACAGTAAAGATTCTTGAAATAATTTTCATGGGAAGTGTTTGTCTTCAGTTTGCTGTCTCGCAAAAATCTGTATCTGTAGCGCCCTTTTTATACAACACTGTTGCCTTCTCTTATAGTCTTATTTTCCCTCTCTTAAAGCCTTGCAAATTCACCAACAATACTCCAAGCTTGTCTTTCTTTTAACCAAGTGAGTTACTTGTTTTATTTTGTTTTGTTTTGTTTTGTTTCTTGGATGCTCTGGTTTTGTGTCCATGTTTGAGTGTAAAGATTGTTGACAGATGTAAATCATGGCATAACAATGAAACCCATTTGTCCAGGTCTTGTCTTTCACGTTGCTTCTTCACCTTTTCACGTTTCAACTTCGGGATATCTGTAATGGAGGTTAGTGAATGTTGAGTCTTTTTATTATCTTTGCATTATGTTTTTATCTTCAATATGGTTTCTTTATGCTCTGCGTTTGGTCTGTTTATTATGAGCTTGATCAAGGTTTTGCTTCGTGTTGTTCATGATTCGTTTCGTTAGATTTGTTGTTGTTGTTCTGATTCTTGGTTTGGTCTATGTTTGAGAGCTTTGATATTGAGTTTTGTGTGAAAATTGATCTGGGGTTAGTAATCTTTTTACAGTATGGTTTTTTTTCGAACTCGTATAATGTTTATGTTTTCTTTTCTTTTCTTCTGTGGGTTTATATATTTGGTATGTTGATTTTGCTGCGATCAGTGTATTTGTGGTTTATGGGATTGTGTTTGTTGACTTGTACAGAGAAAAGAGTTCGCGGAATTTTATTATTATGAAATTGATGATTAGTGGGTATTCCCTGTGGGGTTTGGTTTGTGGGTTCACTTGGATATGGCAATGTGGTTGTTCTGGATAAATGCTTGTGGTTATAGATTAAGCTAGTTCTCTATCTGGCGCAGAGAGAAGATTATGCTTTCTTCTAGGTTTTCATTTTTGGTTTGGGAGCTTCTGGTTGTTAAGCAAGTTTGTTTGTTGCTTGAGGGCTTGCCTTTTTACTTGTTTGCATGGAGGAGTGAACTGAAGAGATTATTAGCATATCATTGCAAGTTCGTGGTTGTGTTGTCTTTTTGTTGGTATTCTCCGATAGCCATTCTATTCTACATTCTGGAAGTGTCAGACTGCAGTTCTCACTCTGTCTTTGTTCTAGGTTTCCAATACTTCCATCATTCTTATGTATTTTGATTTTTCTTTCAATGCATTTTATGCTGAATTGATTTGAAATCTTTGACAAATTGGGGATTTTGATTCATATCTCGTGTCATGAATTCTTAGATTTAAGCCACATGTTATGAGTTATAACCTTTGAGAATGTTGCGCTTCCATGTCATACTCTAATTGCTCATTCACGTAGTCTTTTAGTTTCTTTCTTTGTTTTAAATGGCAGTGATTCATAACATTTCCAAAAGTTCTGTCAAATATGCTGTTAAGCATGCCATTTCTGCTTCTATTCCTTGCTGTTATTGATTTTTTGCGCCAAGGTTTCCTGGTCTATATCTTTTGGCAGATGGAATCTGATCATCCAGATTATAATGGCAAGTCCACTGAAGAAACATCTCTTCATGAGTTATCTCCTCCAGATTCTCCTCATAAAAGTGACTTATTTGGAGATCAGCAGGTGAATCCCCGAATTGGAGATGAGTTCCAAGTGAATATTCCTCCCATGATAACAGGAACCGAGTATATTCAGCTTTTAATGAACCCTACTGATTCAAATGTCATGTTTGATGTTTCTCATTCTTTTCTAATGGGTTTGCCCATCCCCATTGCATGGCTTCATGATGAAATAGATAATATTGATGATGCTGCTCGTACAGATGTGTCCTTCAAATGTAAAAAGAGGAAAAAGGGTCAAATTAATATAGGGAGGAGAGGTCCAAAACTCGATGCTTCAGAGTTGTGTGTAAGATTGAAAGCCAGAAAAGAATGAAAACCAGAAAACTTAGAAGCAAAGATTGCAGGAAGAACTAACTTGGATAGGCTTTGTAAATGCACAAGTTATTCTCCAGTTCCTGGTTTGCTAGGAGACTTTTGGAGCGATGCTGAAAAGGAAATTTTTCTTTTTGGTTTATATATATTTGGGAAAAACATTTTTTCAGATAAAAAAATTCATGGAGACCAAAGAGATGGGGGATATTTTGTCATATTATGATAAACCAGCAGTACATAAGGTTTACACCCTTAAGGGGCATAATAGACATTAGGAAGGTTGTTAAGGGAGTAGGGTCTACAAAGCACACGTGTCATGGATGAGAGTCTGTTTTGAGAATATGAATTGTGTGAGTAAGGGTAATTGTGGAAAGGGGAATTGTATATAAGCAGGAAGAGTCGCAGCAGCAGGGTTATCTTTTTGGCATTGATAAAACAGTGGAGGTTCCTGGCTCCTCAAAACGCCAGGGTTTATGGTTACATTCCAGTCCTCACATTTTATATCTGTTTCATTCAAATTATCGGATTAATACAAATTATGCTGAGGTTATATCTATTCTGTTCTTGTGTTATTCTGGTTGTGGATTGACAGTGTGTGGGTGATTTGTGTGAGAATTATTGCTGCTTGGTTGTGGATTTAGTTTGTTTGCAGGTGATCGTATCATATTACTACGGAGAATTTTATAGGTCTAATGAACACCATAGGTGGACAGATTGCCGGAAACCAAGAAGTAGGAAATGTGTATACGGACGGAAAATTTTTACTGGGTGGAGGCAGCAAGAATTGGTGTCTCGTTTGCTTACACGTGTTCCAGAGGAATCTCATAACTCTTTGTTGGAGGTACTGCATTTGTATATATGTTGGATATTATTTTGTTTCTAGTCACTAGTGATATGTCTTTTTTCAAATGAGTTGAAAGATGCCTACTTATCTGTAATATATGCCTAAATTATCGTTAATGTGTGTTTATTGTTACTATCGTTATTTTGCCTTGTGGGTATGTTGAAAATGCCAAAATATTTGGAGAAAAATAAGTCATTTCCTCTCACAGTCTGTTTTCATTGAAGTTTTCTGACTATTAATTCTTGATTCTAATAGAATATGTGAATGGAGAAAAATAGTAGTAAGAAATCTTTATGTCATTCTATTTGATTTGGGTCTTCCATTGTGGCGATGGCAAGAACTTTGGTTGCTGTTGCTATTGGCATGGCTTAGACGCAGATGACTTGGGATGTTTTGTTTCCATTGAAGTTATTCTAATAGAATATGTGAATGGATAAAAATAGACATAAGGAATCTCTTTATCCTTCTATTTGTTTTGGGGTCATCCATCGTGGCGATGATAAAAAACTGTGGTTGCTGTTGTTGCCGATGACTGGGCTGTTCACTGGTGGCTGTTGCTTGATAATTGTATTATTAAAGAATTTTATGAGTTGGGTTTTGGGAGTAATGACAGATGGGGAAGAATGTGATGGCGTATGAAGGTGGAAACTATAATATATACTCTTTGTCCTCCAGGTTGCATGTCCCAATGGTTAAGTATTTGCCTACAACATGGTACGTGAGTTGAGTTCACAATAAACCACTACTGGATGACATGATGATAAAAAAGCAAAAAGAGGTTTCACAAGTTTGAGTTCGAGTTCTCACATGTGTTAAAGGTGTGGCCATTGAAGAACTTACCTAGTTGTTAACTTCAAGGATCTGGGAGATTAGTTGAGATGCGCAAACTAGCTCGGACAACCCGAGTCACACGAAAAAAAAAAAAAAAAAAAAACGAGTCGAGTTCACAAATTTGTGATATAGTGTAGTCCACCTCTAGTTGGTGTTAAAACATTGAGAGAACATTACTTAGGGCAAGAGTCTGAAATGACTCACCTTTATGTAGAAGTTATATATTATGAATTCACTTAAGATTAGAAATATGCAAATGGCCAAATGTCAATTCAATCTTACGACAACATCCATCAAGAGAAGATAAGGGGTATGTTTATATTCTCGATTGACATAGGGCAAACAACAGAACCAAATTAGAGATTTGTATAACATGAATTACTCAGTACATTACTCTGTGTGTTCATCAACTTCATTAATTCAATTTGTCCAATTAAACAATGACAACTGATAAAGAAGTTCAGGGCCAAAGACACCCAAATTAACAAACAACGATAAGAAAAATCATGTGTATAAAGAATTAACAAATGACAAGCTACGGTTGATGATGCCTAGCTCCAAAAGATCAATTTTCCCTTGAAATATATCAAACAGTTGCGGAACTGTTTCTGATACCTTGGACAAAAAAAAAGTCTATGAAGTACTTTTCAGAGGACATCAGCACAAAGACATACTAAAATTCACTCCAAAATATAGTTCAAGCTAAGCAAGACTACCTATCAAACCCCTTCACTGACGTCTTGAGTCTCAATAAACATATCCTCTTTCACTCAAGGAATTTAACTTCACCACTGCATACCTGAAATCCACCTCCAGTGCAATGGAGATTGATAGAATATTGCAATTGCAGTTATACAGGAGCACATGTCAAACAAAAAAGAAGTTGCACAAGCAAAAATATCACAGCATCAATCTGTAATATTGTTCAAGTCAATCAAACTCATTCATCTCTTTCTCTGACCTCCAAGCTTCACGTAATCTAGAAAGGAAGACTGGTTAGAAAGTAGAAACGCCAGGGACGGAGTAAATCAAAACCACATAATTCTGCTTCTACTGGTCATATAACAAATAGCTTAGAAGTTACCACATTCTAAATATGAACAAAGTATACAATCAAATGCAAATTGTAAAAGCGATGAAAACAGTGTTGCTCTGCAGAACTAACTAAGTAATTCAACATTGTTCAATAAACTAAAAAGCTGAAATGTACTAATCACCAATTAGAGATTATACAATCGTTTTAGGCTTGGAAAGTTGACATGCTACAGTTTGCTGGAGAAAACACAAATATTCATATCCAGAGCCTGAAAGCCTTCCTTCCTTTGATAGATATTAATCAATTCAGGAACCTGGTCAAGGATTTTCTCACAAACCTATCCAAGAATAGCTTCTCAGCAGGTTTCACACATGAACTTAGGCTCAAATTTTTTTTCACCAACCCCTTGATTGCAGAACTTTACTGAACAAACACCTTAGGATTACCCTCTTTTCCAAACTCATTAGGAAAACGTCTGGAGACAAGGCAAATCTGTGGACTGCCAACCCATCTTGTTCACAAGAAAATCCATTACATTCATATTTTGATTTCAGAGGCATTCAAACTTGGGCCATTTTCTGAAAACCAACATAATGCCTCTCAGACCATCCCCACCCTGAAAACGTCCAATTCTGTTCCAAGTTCATTGACTCATTACAACAAACACCTTCATCGCATGGATGAACCCACATTCTGAGATTTGAATAACATGATTAATCATTACTTTCTCTGTGTGTTTTCATCAACTTCATTCATTTCAGTTTGTCCAATTAAACAATGAGAACTGATACAAGAAGCTCTAGGCTGTATTCAGAGCTGAATAAGTTCAGGGCCAAAGGCACTCACATTAACAAGCAACAATAAAAAGAAAAAAAACCAACAAATAACAAGCTACAGTTGGTTGTCTCAGGTTTTTGCTAAAATCCAATGCCCAGTTCTGAAAGACAACTTTCCCTTGATATATATCAAATAGTTGTGGAACCTGTTCCTGATACTTGGACAAGAATTGTCCGCGAAGCGCTTTCAGAGGAATCAGCACGTAAGACAAACCGAATTTTTTCTTAATCAAGTCGTTCAACAACAAAACCCAAAAACCTGCACATCCGGGATGATTCTCTTCTCCAAACTATAAGCTAAAGCCCTAGGTGTTAGCAATTGCTGAAGGTGCGCAACCATCTTGTTCAATAAAAGTCCATTTTGGTATTTATATTCTCCACAGACAGAGTCATACCTCTGGGATAGCTTCTAAAAGCTAACGCAAGTCATTCTCAGACCAACCCCAACCCGTAAACCTTCAGTTTTGTGCCCAGGAATTGTCAGTCATGGTCGTAACTGCTACGAGTGCATCAATAAATGCATGGTTGAGGATTGAATCCCATATCGATAACCTTCTTGAACTTTTATCAAACTTTTCAGAACTTCGCACAATACACAAGGATTTGAGGTCACCAAAGTTGAAATACCTGATTGTGTCATTCCAATTCCTTTCAAGGCAGAGATATTGGGAACAACTTTTTTGCATATCATGCAAACGAATTACGCTTATAAATATTGACAATTTTTCATTGTTGGAAACCAAACTCTTAATGAAATTGTGTTAGGAATAATGTTTCTCTAAGCTCTGACACAAAAAGAAGGGTTGAGCAAGGTCAGTACTAAAAATCCCCACGGAATGGAAAAACTCAAGCTGGGTAAAAGAGTTTCCTCAACGCTGCCTACAGCAATTTCGGTTTTTTTTTAACTAGTTTGGATATGTGCGCATTGGTAAACCCATTTTTCCTGAGAATGCCAAGTACAGCATCTGGCTTTTTGGGTTTCAAAAGCTACTTTCTTTGATAAAGAAGCAGCAATTTCTGGGGACAACCCACATGAGTTTATGAAATAAGACCACTGTGAATGAATGCTGTTTTCTCTTATCACGTGCCACAACTTCAACCGATGAGAAGGATTTAGAAAAAAGTGATGTATTTGCAAAACAAAACTCAAATGGATCGACGAGCATGCCAACATTCTCCAATTGGGACTAGTTGAAATTGCAGTCTTTTGCAGCACAAAGGAAACATGGCCAAATCAAATAAAAATTAAGAAAAAAAAGAAGAAGAAAAGCAAGAAAGTACTCACGAATTGTTTCAAATTTTCAGCTTGAACTGGGTATTTGATTGCGAATCTGTATATAAAATGCCCTCGTCGAATTACAACACAGATTTGATAAACTGCTTTTAGGGTTTCCCTTTTCAATTTGCGTTATTGCTCTCCATCACGAGACGTGACTCATTTAATTAAGAGAGAATAACAATTCCCACCCCAAGGTTTGGCGTAATCATTTCCCACCCAAGACTTTGAGAAAAACAATTGCCCACCATCATTAAGAAACGTCTGTTAATTTTAACTGAAGATGGATAGGATGGTAAATTCACTAGAAGCTTTAAATCAAAGATTTAAAATTTTCTTTCTTCGTCCAAGGACCGTGTAACGAAGTTTCCCAGGATAAG